CACATTTTTTTTTTCTGAAGAGATCACAAGGAAGTCTTGGTTTAAAAAGAAACAGAAACATACACAGGGGGGTTGGTGAATGGTGCCGACCGCGGCCATCGCAGTTGGAGGCTATATTTTGGGGAGGGTGAGTAGCGTCCATGGAGTTACTTTGCGCCCACTCCTAACGGCAAGGGCTCGGATCCGGTGAGCTGACCTTCCCCGGCTGGGGTGCGGGGCTGGGGACGCCGCGGGGCCCGTCGCCTCCCTCGCCGCGACCCCGGATGGATGCGCGCCCCCTGCCCGCCCGCGCCGGCCCCAGGAGCTCCGGATTTCGGGAGCATCCTTCCCGCGCCGGCCCCTGCCGCGGCGCGTAGCCGAGGGCAGCGCCCCTCGGAAGGGCACCGCGGAGCAAGGTAAGATCCAGCCCCCGGCGATGGGCCCTGCGCATCTCCACGGCGTTATTTTGTGTTTTTGCAACAGATCTACCAGCGCTCCTCGCTCCCTCGCTCGCTCTCTTGCTCACTCGCTCCCTCTCTCTCCTGCTGGCTGCCTGTTCTAGGAAGCCAGCGCGCGGGGGGGAGGGGGGATGCACAGCACCGGGGAGAGAGATTGCGCATGTTGGTCAGTCGTGTTTTAAAGAGTACATTGCGGGGAGGCTGAGAGGGGCGCATGCAACAACAACTTTTGGAAGGGTGAGCTTGGCGACCTTCTTTATTAATGACTGCGGCAAAGCGCCCCCGGGCCGGCGAGGGGGTGCGAGAGGGCGGGGGCGCACCGGGGCTGCAACTTGCCCCGCGGGCTCCAGCGGGGCGGAGGGACTGCGGCGGGAGATCGGTGCAGAGGGGAGATCGCGCGGCCGGGGACGGGGGTTTCGAGGACCTGGAGCTAACTACCCTCCTGTCACCCCGAGTTTCATTTTGTTGATACGCAGCACGTCCGGGCGCCGAACCGGGCTGAGCCGGTGCACATGACCCCGCACTAGGCTCACGTGCAGGCGGCCCCGGTCCTAGACACCTTCCGGGGGCCACCGCCTCCGCCCAGTCGCCCCCTCTCCCTGCTAGCTGCACGCGGGCGCTGCACGCGGGGGCAGCATGTTCAGCTCCCGGGCGCGGAGGCTCTGCACAAATTAAACAGTTTTTTTGGAGGGGTGGGGGACGCCCTTTCCAGGTGAGTATTGAGGGTGCGCAGCCCGGTGCGGGGGAGGTGCGGGCTGGGGTCGGGGGCTGCTCCCCCCTCCAAGGCTGCGCGGGAGTCCAGCGGGGGAGAAGCGCTGAGAGAGTGGAAATGTACCGGCGGCGGCCGGAGCGGCGGGTGCGCGCCCGCGGGGCGACGGCAGGGGGCGTGGCCCTTGTTTACCTTCTCCCAACTCAGCCGGTTCGTGTCCCGCTCCGGGGATGGTTCTGCAGTCCCCGGCCCTCCTTCTCCGCCCCTACGCCCTGGGTAGTACCGGGAAGACGTAGGCAAGTGGCGGCCCCAGCCTGGGACTTACACACCTGACCCCCAAATGAGTGACAGTGCAGCCCCCGCCCCCACCAAACGCCGCTGCAGTCCCTCTCCCGGATCCCCGGCCCGGCCCCGCCCCCGGCAGTGGCATCTTCCCGGCCTCACCTCCTTCCTCCCTCTTCCTCCTTCTCTCCCTCCCTCCTTCCCACCCACTCTCCTGCGCCTGCGGAGCGGCTCCCGCCTGCCTCCTCCCTGCCTGTGTGCAGACTTGTGGCTCCCTCCGGTCCCTTCCCGCCTATCCCTGGGCGCTGAGACACCCTCTTCTCCAGGCCAAGGAATGAGAGGGGTTAGCTTGGTAATCAGTAGTTGTTATGTCAGAAGATGGGGATGCCTGCGAGACAGGCAGGAAGGTTTCACTGTAGCTTCCAGAGGCCCAGGAACCCCCCCAACCCCCCCCACGAACCCTTTTCCCCAGCACACAGAGCTGCTCACCCCCCAAGGCGCTCCGCCGCCCTCACCCGCATCACCCACCCTCCTTCCCCCACCCTGGGCGTCTAGTCCACCTCCCGGCACCACCCCCGGCCCGAACCGCCTCTTGCCCTTCCTTCGCCTGGGCCGGAGCCCCCCGCAGCCACCTCCGGCTCCTCCTCCCGGCTCCTGCGGTCGGAATCACGCCGGCGCGCCTCCAGCTTGCCGTCCCGCGGACTACCTCCAGGGGCAGGCTGGAGGCGCGTGCCACCAACTCCTGCCCCCGCCCCCCACCACCTCCAACCCAATCTCCACAGCCTGTGCTGCCCGCCGGGGCACTTGACTTTTTTTTTTTACCACCTTCGCCGCAAGTCTCGTGCTCAGGGCTGGTGGGGGCGGGAAGGGCCATGTTTCTCTTTGCCCGATGCCAAGAGCAGGCTGCAGTTGGCAACTCCGTCTGCAGATTTGCAAACCTAGCCTTTGCATTTAGCAACAATCCCCGCTCATTTACTGCAGGGTTCCGAGACAAAGTTTCATCCAGGGGCTGAGTTGCAGGGGGTCATCAGGACGCATCCTGTTTGCACTCTGCATTGCCAAGGGGGATGGGAAGGGGCTGAGTGGGCATGGCTGACCTGCTGCCTTGCCTTTGTTGGAAGGAGAGGAGCCCTGAGCTTTGAGCCCAGACAGGCTGTCAGGAGGTCTCCTTTACGGTTCTGTTTGCAGACTGCGTCCTGGGCCCTAGTGGTGGTAGGGACGTCTGGCCCCTCCTCCCAGGGTGGCATTAACTCCCTTCACTGGTAAAATTCCCAGTAGGACATTTGGCAAAAGGGCCGGGCAGGGAGCTGCCAACCGAGTCTGGCCCTGTTTCCTGGGTTCCCAGGGTGCTGACTTCTCCCCTACCCTGACTTCCTCTCTCACCGTAAGGCCCCAAGCGAATGCACCATCCCTCCTGTCCTATCTTCCTGGAGCGGGTTGGAACTCGCAGAACCATCTAACAAGCAGAGGAGGGAAATAACAACAGAATAACTGTAAGGGGAAGGAATGAGTAATAAAGCCTACCCAGGCAGGGAGGAGGGCTTTCATGTTTAAGAGATGCTATTTGCTTTTTAGGTCACAGGCTGCAAAAACAGGCTTTGATCCGAAGTGGGGGAATAATTTATTGAGAAAGTTTGCATGGTAGAAAAAAAAGGGATGTTTGTTTGATCTGGAGCCCTCTCAGTTGTCCCAAGTGCTGTTGGCTGTTGTTTAGAGTGGAAAAGCATTTGGTTCCACAGCAAATGCTTCACAGAGGGAAGTCCTTGCCCCAGGCAGCAGGACTTGCAGTGAATGTTGGATTTGAAACTATTTGGCTAGGGGTCTCCCCAACACTTTTGGAGATGAAGTGTTTAAGGATAAAGTTGTTTGGGCTCAGGATGCAGCAAATGTTTCCAGAACATTTCCCATCCAACATGCTTTTCTTTTTCCTAAATTGCCTGGCTAAACGGCCAGTAATACTGATCCAAGAGGCTGTCAGAAATCTTCACTTAGTTTTCATTGACAGGTGAGGTGAGACTGCTGGTCCCCAGCCCCCAGGTGCACCTGATTCTTGAGGTTAGGCTTTTGACACTGACTTCCATGTCCTTGAAGTTGAGGGCAGGGTGTTGTGGTTAACGGGGAGCTAGTTGTCCTATACCCAAGATCCAGGTCAGAGGCTTCCAGTCCAAATTCTTCACAGCTCATCCAGCAGGCTTTTTGTGGGCTTCAAGTTCTCCCTTTAGATTGTCCAAGGGGAGGCCATGTCAGCAGTGCGAGGTGTGTGGGGGGTACCCCTGGCTTTCCCGTCCTCCACACAGGATCCTTACCATGTGATCAAAGCTTAGGAACCTAGGAAGGTTCTCAGACAACCCACAGGAATCTAGAGTGCCCCAGCCACACCTGAGTTGTAGGCCTGTGTGTTGTAGCCCGGTGGGATGGGGTACACTATCTGGAGCTGAGGTTTGGATGCTGGTTATGCAGTCCCCAGTCGTGACAGTTATCCTGTGTCTCAGTTTCTTCATCTACAAGTAGAGTTAGTAACAGAACCTACCAAATGGTGGGTGTATGAATTAAGCCATATTGCACAAAGAAGATTAAACCCAAAGCCAGGCATGTGGTAGTAAGCACTTGATTAGTATAAGTCATTCTTACTGTTAATATTAATGATCTGGAGAGAGCCCAAATGTAGCTTTGAACTTTGATCTCTCCCCTTTAGGCTAGGCTGAAGAGCTAGCTCCCTTCTCTGAAGAAGGGATCAGAAGGATCCTGCAGTTGCCAATGGGCAGCCATCTGTGGGATCAAGCGGATTGAGCTCTGCCATCTCTGAGGTGGAGAGTAGGATGAGAGGTACTGAAGGACAAAGTAGACAAAGCCCCTTTCATTCTCCCAGGATCCCCTTGGTGTGTCCCCAGAATTGGGTCTGGAGGGTGGGTGTGGGCAGCATCTCCTAAGGGAGCTGGGTGCACTCTGGGACACTTGGCATTGCAGGTGGGCAGTGATGGATGTCAGAGGAGAGTGCAGGCTTCCCTGTGCTTGGAGAAGCAAGTTTGAGGATCTGTGTGTACAAAATCATTCTTGTAATGGCAATTATTGTCCCCGAGAAGGCATTAAAGTTAATGAGAGATAGTAAAGAGTGGGGCTCTGACCCCCGTTTAAAGACATTTAAGAGTGTGCAGTTCTTGTTTTCTGAATGTCTGGCCTTCCCGACACAAGGAGGCTCTGAGGACAGGTTTTCCAGCCGAAATATCATTAAATTGTATTAGCATCTTATTACACACACGCCTTAGTGGTCTGCCTCAGACAGGGAGAGTTTTTGTTTCTCTTTGAAAGATTGTGTCTGGAATGGTAAATTGCCTGCTTGAAAGCTTCCCCCACCCCCTTTTTTAAAGAGGAAGACGAAATCCTGCTGTGTATGGTGGCGGTCAGGGCAGGCCTGGTGGCCCCAGAGAGGAGAGTCCGGAGGCCAGGTTGGGGCATTTTAACTGCCCAGGGAGCGGCTGTCGTAGCAGGCCTGAAAGGCCCACTGTTCCCAGGGTCAGCTGGAAGGGCGTTAATGGAGGCCCAGGGTGTTTATTTGAGTTTATTTGCAGAAAGGTCTTTAAAGGGGGCTGGCATTGGGCATTGGTGTTTCAAGTCCAGATCCGAGGCCCCCACTAAGACCAATGACTAGTGCTGCCAAGAAAACATCTGCCATCAAATTGCTGCCCTATTACTGAGTTGACATTGATCATTAGCCAGGAGCCCAACCAAATAAAGCCTCTTGGAAAATGTGTGAGGTTAAGATGGGGAAGGGGGCTGTGAAAACAGGATGAAATCTTGGGCTGGGGTGTTTGTTCCTGCAAGCTACAGGCAGGCCAGCTGGGCTGTGTGGTCTCCACACTTCTAGAGGGAGGGGGCAAGAATACACTCGCTATTATGCGCTGCGTACAACGTGAGGAGGGCCATCGGGACTCCAGCAGGGATCCAGACAGACTTACTCTCATGGAACTTACATTCTGGAGGAGAAGGATATTCAACAAGTAGATCAACAAACACAAATTATGATGGATGCTGTGAAGACGTTGAATAACAGGGTGGTGAGCTTTCTTTAGATGAGGCCCTCAGCATAGACCTCTGACATTTAAGCTAAAGATAAAATGTTGGACATGCATAGACTGCGTCAACCATTATAGGTAGAGAGCACAGCCTGTGCATAGATCTTGAGGCATGGATTATTAAGCTTGTTGCAGGAAATGAAAGGGGGACTGTGTGGCTGGAAAGTGCTGGGGAAGGGGTAGTGGTCCATGTGGACTTGTCGAGGTAGGCGGGCCAGCTCG